CTTTGTCTTTATCTTTATCTTTACTCTTGTCTTTCTTTCCCTAACTAGGTAGTGCTATATTAGGGTATTGCTTATAGCACTTAGCGTTAGTATGCTTGTACTTGCACTAAGTGCACTAGTCGTTATCATTGCTAATAGCCCCTCTAATAAGCTTTGAGCCGCTAGATGACTATCTAGGAGGCTTTTCTCTCCTTAGGGACGTTATTATTACTTTAAGGGAGGAGTCCTTAGCTTTAGGCTTATTATTATACTTCTAGGATCTAAGCTATTCGTAACCAGAAAGGCCCTAAATAAACAGTATCCTAACAAGCATATTAGGCATCTTAATGTCGGATAACTTTATAGGCGCTTCTGTTATTGTAACTAAGCTAGCAAATTGTTCTATCGATATTTAGAATCTATTAAACTACTACTAAAAAGATTCGCAGTACTACTAGGTATTCGGATTAGTAAGGGGCATCCTAATATACCCAATAAGTTTAATAGTATCAAATATATCTACGGTTACAATAGGCTTATATAGAGCCTCAATATAGTCGTATATATCCTTAGCTAACTTAGGTGTATTACCGAAGTCTAGTCTAAGGGCAGGGTCGAGTCTAGCAATAAGTATACCTAGGGCTTAGATGTCTTTCTTCTTCTAGTCCCTAAACATATCTCTATACTGCTAATCGGCTAAGTCCCCTATAAATATGCTTTTTAGAGGTAGTTTTATTTCATTAGCCTAGTTAAGTCTATAGAATACTATACTAACTAGGTCCTTTTCTAGAAGGGCCGCCTAGAATATAAGCTTCTAGTCTTAGAAGTTGATCCCCTTCCTAAGAACTTGATTCTCCTTTACTGTCTTTGTCTAATTGGTGTCTATCGTTCCTAGCTGCCTTTTAGTATAGTGCTAGGTAGGGCTTATAAGGGACACTTACTAGGTTTTAGTCCGAACTAGAGCTCTTAACTAGGTACCTAATAGGTCTAGATAGCTAGCTCTATTTAGTGGACTCTAGAAACAGTTCTTTTATAGTTGAACTAGATAGGTGAGCGTATACGCCGGGCTTATAACCTATTGTGAATCGTACTAGGGATATAACTAATCATCGGATTGACAACTATATAACTATATAAAGAAGAATCAGGAGCCTACTATAGAAACTGCAGTTAATATACCCATTGTATGTCCTTCCTCTTAGCACAGGTCAGCTAATAGTATCAGCTGACTAGCATATTACCTAACTAAACCATAACACCTGTGATACGAGGGAAGCTCTAGTTCTACTCTCTAATAAAAGTACCGAGACCAACACACTACATATAGGACGATTAAGCGAGATAGCGGAGGGGGGTAATCCCTAGAAACGGGATCTAACT